AATGGCTGTGAACATTCTAAACTAACACGTCTCATTAAGTGTCCAGTTTAAGGGTATTACACAGAAACACACCACAGGAACATGAATCAAATGTGTACTTTATTCATTTACAATAAATTCATAATGTACATAATTCTGATTGAAGCTAAGGGCATACAACTGTCTAATAGTTGCGAAGGGGAAATAGGAAACTGAAGAGGTACTTTAGATCAAGTGAGAAAAACAGAAAAAAATAATTTGGAAAAATAGTAGAGACAGAAGTTCAAGTAAGCAAAGCACGGGGCTATTTTTTATGGGAGGGGAAGAATTTGCAAGAAAAGTTTTTTTTTTTGGAGCTGGAAAAGAAGAATGGTTTGGGTGTAGAGGCTTGATAAGTAGGTGGTTGCATGTGTCTAGGAATTGGGGTGTAGGGGGAGATTTTGGGTCTCTTGTGATGGTCTTGTGATCCTGGCAGCGAGGTTTTCTGATTCTTTAAGGTCAGGCTGGGGAAAATGTTTGTGTTCAAGGGGTATAGGATTGTGGCTGGTGTTGGGGGTCTGAGTTTTCTCTTTCCTGGGTGATATCTTATCAGCTTTTGTTGTTGTGGTCTATTTTTTTTTTTCTTGATAAAGTTTTTCTTTTTTATCAAATTTTTTGGGGTTACTACATAGTTTCAAGCTTTAGAGAACAAATGTGGGGTTAAGTAGCTCCATCTAGCCTAACTTAAAAGCACTTTTAATCATTGTAAATATTATAATTTTTGTTTCCCACAATCAATACAATTTACTGGTACAATCAGAAAAATGTATAATGTGTTTTCTGTAACATTTTAAGCTTTTGTTTGCTGAATTAGGTCTCAGCTTAGTATGTGTGATGTAACACTAGTTCTTTTTTTGACAAAATTTACTTTTCCATATTGAAAAAAAGAAAAAAAATTATCATAAACTTGCCTCTTAATGCTGATGGAAGAAAGATAACACATTTTTACCTGATTTATGTGTAAGTGTATGGTGCATAACTTTCAATGTCAAGTTTCACATCTCAATGTTTCTTGTATAAGAATGGTATATATTCCTAATTCTATTCAAGTTTTCTTAACTCTATGCTTTCATTTTGGTGACTTTATTCTGATGCTACTTATCTATTTTGAATAGGTTGTTGAAAATATTGCTAGGGAATGTGGTGTTAGTAAAAGTGATTTACTTGACCGGGAAGCAGATGATCTTGCTGTGCGTATTGCTTTGGGAGAAACACATGTGATCACAAAAACCAAAAAAGCATTAGAAAATGCTGGAGTAAATATAACTGCTTTGGAGGAGCTGGCAGCTAGAAAGGCTGGCAATGTTAGAAGGAGCAACCATGTTCTGATAGTGAAGAACTTGCCTTATGGTTCATCTGAAGGAGATTTAGCAAATATGTTTGCGAAGTTTGGTAGTTTGGATAAAATTATTCTTCCCCCAACTAAAACATTGGCCTTGGTATGCATTATTTTATGTTTTAATTGGTAATACTTGTTTTTGGCTCAAAAATATCTATCTAGATAGTACCTAATTTTTTCTTTCACCAATAAATTTTATTTACCAATCCAAAAACAAGGAAAAAAAAAGAAAACCTCTATAAGCTGTGTATTGTTCTAATAACTTTATGGTCTTAAGATGCTTTTATTTCTTGATGTTTGTTTGTTGGAAACTTGGTGTATATCATGTACTTTTATCACCTGCATTACTGTAGTTGAGCACAGATCATAATTGATAAAGGAGATGCATTTAACTATTTAGAGAACTCTCTTTTTAGTTAGGAGTTACTTTGCTTTAATTTTTCTGAAAATATGAGGTCTAGGCCATGTTTGGTTTTACTCTCATTCTTGCTTATTCTTACTATTGATGAAATTCTAGGATGGACAAGAATGGGTAGAAATGGGAAGAATGACAAAAAGTTGCTACGAATCAAACACTTTTTTATCTAGAAAAGTTTGGCTGGTTCACTAAGGCTATGTTTGGTTTGAAGGAAAAAGTAGGGAAAGGAAGGGAAAGGTAGGGAAGCCTATACAAAATTTGTAAAGGCTTCCCTATCTTTCCCTACCTTTCCCTTCCTTTCCCTACTTTTTCCTTCAAACCAAACATAGCCTAAAAGGTGATTCTAGCATCACAGTGAGTTGCTTATCAAATAGCAATCCAGGACTGTGAAAGCATGGGAATTTTCTAAGAGAGATAAGGGAGTTGGGAGTTCAGAATTGCTGTCTCCCAAGGGAAGTTAACAGTTTGGTAGACATGTTAATTAAGCAAGGGGTAAGTGAATTAATACTTATTGGGGCTCGGGCTGTCCACAGATTGTTCAATCTGATCCAAATCCAATAACTTTGGATGTGGATTGTAAAGAGATTGGGCCGAATGGGTCCTAGTATCTTCTCTTGTAATATTTTTTCTATTTTCCTGTTAGCTAATGTGCCTCTCTTAATGGGCCTGTTATTTCTTTTTGTTTGATCTCTTTATGTTACTGCCTAGCTGGCCGCCCACTTAAGGGCATACTTTTAATTATTTTAACATTAATTTTTAGTAAAAAGGATTAGAGAAGAAAGGGAAGGATTATTCGAACCTTTCTTCTTCTTCCTCCTCTTTTCTCCATCTTCTTCTCTTGTACTGCTGCTCTTTCTTTTCTTCCTCATTTTTCTCTCTAATTTTTCAAGTTTACACTTATTTTTGAGGACTGGTTTACATCTTGGTATCAAAGTAGGATTCTTTCTTCCTTCTTTTCTTCTTCCTCTTTTCCCATACACCATTAGATTAAGAGAGTGTATGGAGAGATAGGTTTTCTATAGCTCAGAGGTTCTTTGGCCTAGTTGGTAGAGGGGTTGGAGAGTTTAAATCTGGCTGGATATTGCCAAGAAGTGGTGCTGTTCTGTTGCTGCCCAAAACCCTAGCCGACTAGAGATTTTCGAAGGTACATGTAAAGGTGAAGCTTTGGGTGTGGCGCTCTGTGCTTGGGAGGTGTCTTTTGACTCCTAAAGGAGGGCGGTTCAGGTTTGGAA